GCTTTCCTGAATTTAGGCAGCAGTGATTTTGAGTGAATGTGGGGGAAGTTTGCCATAAGCAAGGGCAGTCAGTGGTCACAACACTTGTTCATCCTCAACACAACACTGGTAAAGCCAACATAACTGGTAAAGCCACAGACGGCCATTCATTGAGTTCAGTAGGCTGAGTTGACTTTACCTTCTCTGTTGTTTTAAAGCTAGTCCAGGAAAACAATCAGTTACATGGGAGATCTTTTTCAGAAGCACTTTTCAGAAGCTGATGCAGGAGCACCAGCTGTGCTGGAAGTGGATGGAACTTGCACTTAGTATGTCCTCTGAGATTTTCATTCTGACAAATAGGTCCCTTTCTGACATCCTGCATCTGAGAGGGCTTCTCATGGTTCTCCTTAAAGCATCCAAAGCCATTTGGCCATAACAGCTGGGTAAATTTGGTTACAAAGTTTACATATTAAATATTTTCAGAGTTTGGATCTTCAAGTTCTGCCTTTCTGCCAGTAAACAGTGGGAGACTGCAGACAACATCTTTGCTGATGAAAAACAGGCTGTCCTGAATAGGAAGGGGAATTTTATAACACCAAACATCCAAAAAGACAAGAGAAAAATGGGTGGTTGATGGGAATCTTTTGGTACTGCAGTGGGCTTGTGGAGAACACTGTACGTACATGCTGAGCAGCGGGCCAGATCAGATACTTCTTCTGTTCCATGTGATAGCTCTATGCTTAATTTCAAATAAATAGAAACCAAGTACAAAATGGAGTATGGAGTACTGCGTCCAGCTCTGGAATCCTCAGCCCAGGACAGACATGGACCTGAAAAGCTGACAGAGGGTAGATTAAGATTAGACATTAGGAAGAAATTCTTCACTGTGAGGGTGGTGAGGCACTGAACAGATTGCCCCAGGAAGTTGTGGCTGCCCCATCCTGGCAATGTTCAAGGCCAGGCTGGATGGGGCTTGGAGCAGCCTGATCTAGTGGAAGGTGTCCCTGCCCATGGCAGGGGGGTTGGAACCAGATGATCTTTAAGGTCTCTTCCAACCCAAACCATTCTGTGATTCTATGAAATATTTTTAAATGAAAAAAAAAAAAAAAACAAACAAAACACTTGCACTATATGGAAGCACTTAAGGAATATAAAATGAAAAGGAAATTCAGCCAATGAAGTCATACACAGTGGTTGTACATTTGTATAAAGGAATCTGCTAGTGTGATTTGCTGTAAGTGCATTGATACCTAAAATAAAATCACATAGATGTAAAATTAATTTAAATTACAGTAAGAAGTAATTCATTACAGAAGTTGATAACATTAGGTGAGGAAACAAATGCAGTCAGCATTTCTGATACATTCTTTTTTAGCTTCATTCACACAGGGAAGCCTCTTTCTCCTTCAGAAATAATCCTGTATGTGTTTATTGGGTGAGTGTCTTTCCATCAGTTGAAGGAAGGATGGGAGAGAAGTTCAGGAGACAGTATTCTGTTCCTCTCCTTTCAGGAGGTAATTTGGGCATGTGTCCATCTATATCCAGCTGGATCTCTGGCTGCACTTCTGCTCCCCCAGCCCCTCTGAATTTCTTCATCATGCCTATCTTTCTTTGAAAGAGGGAGGAAAGGCAAATAAACTACTACAGAGGAAGTAGACCTCTCTTATGTTCCTTCCTGCATTGTGGCAAATGAATTCTGGGGGTGCCCCCGTGAATAGTAAGTTAGCTATGAGAACTGCTGCTGTAAAGGCCTTGAAACTGATTTCTTGGGGGCTAGTGCAGGTACAGAAATTCCCTCTGCTCCCTCTTGATACACAAAAGAAAAAATGGAAGTCATGAAGCCAAAACTGAGTTGCTGATTTTTAAAACTAGCAACTTAAAACAGGAACTTACTTTGCTTTTAACTGAAGCAGCTCTATTGGAGTAGGAGGCTGCTCAGAATAGTATCTTTCTCTTTCCACATTTTTCTTTTATGGTAGTGTCTATGTCAAGCTTCAGGCTGATTCAGCAAGATTTAGTATGAAGATAGTCTTATGGAAATGAAGAGTCAGCTGGGAACTTCTGCTTGCTGAAGAAAACCAATTTCAAAATAACACTTAGAAAAGTACTTCTGGGAAAAAAAGTAGTATTTGGTTCTGAAGATACGGTTTGAGATCTACTGGCACATATGAAGGACTGCATGCTAGTTTACTATCACCCTGAAAATCAGTGAGAAAACTCCCAGCTGCCAGCTTATTTAGTATTTTTTAGCAGTCTGGAGTCTTGTAACGTTACTGGTGTTTGCCCTAATGGTTCTGTTTTAGGTACACCTCTGAGGAAATGTGTTTGTCCAGCATGTGGAATATTACACAAGAGTAAAGAAAAGTACACCATCTGGGTTTTACAGCTGATCATCTGTTTTCAGCTTCACTTGGTTTTGCTGAGTTGCCTGAAGCAAGACATACTTAGCCTGAATTAACTGAAGCAGACTTTGAAATCTTGAGCGTTTCCATGATCATTCTGAATGGTTTTGTAAGCTCTTGAAACTGTTTAGGAGAAATAACTTGACACTTGCTTTTGTAATGAAGCACACACTTGTCCTTCTCCTGTGCCTAGAGGCTTGATGTGTGTACTTGCTTTAGGAATTCATGAATCTACCCTTGTTTGAGTAGGAGAAGGTGTGATAAAGTCTTGCTTTAAAAAGCAAATAAGACCTTGAGAGCATGAGTAAGGTGGAATTTACTCTGTGCCCTGCTCAAGAGACTGCGCAACTTTGTGCTGTTAGGTTATCAAAGCAGAATGGGGCTGCTGAGGAAATCCTGTGGCTTACAGCTGCCTCATACCATGAGAGACATTGTCAGTGTGGACACATACAGTTAATCATAGTTAGCTGGGCCAGTGAGATGGAGCTTGTGGACATGTGCCTGCTGGCAGCCTCCTTGCCACTGCTGCGCTCCCTTGCTCTGTGTGAAGACTTCCAGGGCGTTAACCAAGTACCATTAATAATCCAGAGGCAAAGTGGTTTGTTTGTTTCCCCTCTCCTGGTTGCAATGGCCACTGGTTCAAAGCCTAAGTGACTTTGCTAGAGAATGCAGTGATTTCTCCTGCACACGTTAACTGTTTCTCCCAAAAGCGGTCTCTGCACCACTTCATGCTAGCTGCACTCTGATCCCCTCTGCCGCCATCCCACAGGGACATGCTCCCTGTATTCTCTGCATGTGGGAAGCAAACAAATATATTTTCCCTTCCCAGCACATCCTTTTCCCTAATTGGTGTGATGGGCATAACCACTTAGGCCAATAATTTGCTTCAGTGTGCTCTTTCGGATTAGTGGGATGAGAGTTCCTGTAATAGCACTGGCTTCCTGCATGGCAAGCCCCCAGCCCTGCCGAGTCTCCAGCAGCTCGCAAGAGGCTCTGCCTTTCATGAAGAGACTAATCTTGAGGGATTAATGAGGAAACAACACTTACTGGAATTAAATAAAGCACAGTTAAAACCAAAATGTGGAAAACTAGGGGGAGAAAACAACCTGGGCCTGAGAAGTGGGCTGGAAAGAGGCAGGACAGTGGCTATCAAGGCATAACCTCCAGAAAAATTGAACACAATATTCATTACTATTTAGGCTTAGTGCACCTTTCCGTTTCTGGGATTCAGTACTGAAGCTTTAGCCAAAATCTTTATGAATAAGCAAAATACCCAAGCACATGCAGCTGATGGACTGTAAGGGTTTTGTTGGTGTCTTTTTCAGTAGCATCTGTGGTGCTTTACCCAGCCTTTATTTAGTCAGAAGGTTCTTCATTGTGGCATAAAGTCTAGCCTAGAAAAACAGTGTTTCCTTAGGTCTTCACTGGATTTTGTTGAGGATGGGAATGCACTTTATTACTTGCTCTCTAATGAAGAGCCTTACACTGCTGTGGGAAGGAATTGCTGTTTCTCCAGTGAGACCCTGGTGTGTAACCAGGGATGCAGAATAGCCTTCATCTTTGAAGACAAAACTGAAGATACGTGTTTGCTTTGACTCAAGGAATAGGTTAATTGCACAGAGAGTTGGCAGGCCATTTGTTGGACCTATTGATTAGCTGACTGAAGTATTGATGGGTACCTGCTGCATGTGTTTTCATTGCTACCTAACGGAAGGATTAGAAAACTCATGTTCATCATCTTGAAAGCGTGTTCGCGATGTCACACCCAAACACAAGGCAATAAGGTTTTGTGCAAAGGATCTCTGAACACTGGGGAAGGTGAAGTGAGGTTTCAAGCTCTAATCTAATTACAACTTACATGTTGAAACAGTCGTGTGTTTTATCCAGTGATGTTTAAATGTGGCATCTTTATCTAAAGATATGCTTTTGGTTTCCTATGCATTTACCCCATCATTTTGATTCTGGGAACAAGTGTAGTGTTTGTTTCCCTTCTCCTTTGCTTCTTTGTACCACCACTTTGTGTCTGTGCGGCCCTTGGGTCTGTCTTCCTTTGCCTGACTTTCATAGCTTTCTACACCAGCATTGGGATGGATGTTTGCTTCCTTCCTGGTTAAATCCAGTATTCCTCTTCCCTTCAGTTCCCTGTGCTTTGGTGCAAAATGCTTTATAGGTCATGCTTAATAGTGTTGTGTCATTCTCGTGGTTCTGAAGATATTCTGGAAATAATTTATAACAAATCTACTTCAGACAGATCTCCTTCCTGAAATTACAGGCATCATCTAATTCATTTTGGTTGACCTGACATCCACGTTGCACAGAGAGCTAATATGTATGACCTACGGGAGAGCTTTTTTATCCCTCTAGAGTGGCATCTGGAGGGGAGATAGGCTGTCATATAATTGTAGTATGATCTCAGATGTCCCAACTTTGAACAAGTGAGTGTCATCCTTAATGTTGTACTGAAGTCACAAACTATTTAACATCTCAATTCAGAGTAACTATTGCATGGATATCTCAGTTACACTCATTCAAATAGAAACAGCTGAGACTTGTTCCGAATCATAGTAATAGGAACTGATTGTACGACTGATACTTCCTAATTTTGTCTTCTTTTTGCAGGTCCAACAAGGACAAAGAAACCACACTGCAGAACCTGTAATAGACGACTATAAAAAAATGGGGACTCTCTTTGGCGAACTAAACAAAAGCCTCATCAGAATAGGCTTCACAAGGATGTACTTTGGAGAACGGATAGTAGAACCTGTAATAATTATATTCTTCTGGGTCATGCTCTGGTTTCTTGGCCTACAAGCTCTTGGACTGGTTGCTGTTCTGTGCCTTGTCATTATTTATGTACAACAGTGAAATTTTATATATGCTGTTCACATAAGGTATTTCAACACTGTCACTGTGTCAGTGGATTTATGAGTTTAAGTGAAAGGGTGGCACATCAAAAGCTGCAATCCTTTGAATTGCATTACATTGAAGTTTCAATGCTTGGGACGAGGAGGACTAAAACGATATATTTTAAGCAGTCAGCAGTGCCCTACTATTTCTTTGAAGGGCAAAAAATGACATGCTTGTAATATAATGGTGTCCAGCATACTGTTTTCTGCATTCTTGGGGCCTTAGTCCAAGGACTGGCTTTTTATCATTGCCCTCTCCCCCTGCAATGTTCTTGCTAGCATATTCAAAATTTCCTGCCTGGTTTTACAAGGGCACTCAATGTGAGTGTCCTGTTTCAGTGTTGTGAGGGGCTCATGTGCTGTTTGTTCCCTGAATCTGCCTAACTGGCTCTTTTTTCACTAAAAAGGTAAATCTGCACGAGGGAGGTTTGCTAACAAACAGACCTGCAATGACAAATGGTCATAAGGTGAATGCAACTTCCTGACACAAAAGTATCTTTGGTTAGTATAGTTTATAACACGCTTTCCCTTCGGAAACAAGCTATGCTAGCAAAATAGCAAAATTCTTTTATGCTAATATTAGTAGCTTCCCACAAGGCTTTAGCTGTTCAGGAGGAATCACAGTCCTGTGTTGGCCAAATGGTCTAATGTAGCTTTGCCTTGTGTTTGGAAATGTACTCTGCTCCTGCTGCTATTTTTCTTTCTTTTTTTTTTTATACTTGCTCTTTCCCCCAGCCCTCCTGCTGAAGATAAATATCTGGATAATTCATGGACTTTGTAGGTAGTTACAGCTGCAGTGTTGGAGAGCTGCCATTCCAATTGGCAGTGCTAGATAGAATATTGTCTGCTTCCTCTGGGTTGCGTGTGAAGTGTCTGAGCATCCAGACAGATATCAGACCAGATCTCTTAAAACTTCCCTCATTTGCTGCAGTGTGGACCAAACACGAGCTGGAAGCCTTGTGTACATAAACAAATCAGACCCGTTTCCTCATGCAGGGCAAGAATGCAGTCGAAGTCAGGTGGTCATTTCATGATGATTCATTTTCACACTAGACAACAAAAGGGCATATCTGTAGTTGCATGTCACAGGTAACACAAATGGGAGAATAGGATACACACATTCAAGAGCAGGTGCACAATTCACTTTGGCTCCTAGGGAGCCAGGGTGAATACTCAGTACACCAGGGGTGTACTGGGTATTTCCAAGTTGAATGTGCTCATTTAAAGAAAAACAGTAAAATGAGACGCTCTTTACTGAATAGGCTACCAATTTAATAACTTTTAGTAAGAAACCTAATTGCAAAATGGAATTCTGTGGTAGAGCAAAATTATAAATTTATACAACGTAATAGATGTGAAATGTACAGAGAACTACTTAACCTTTTGCAGTGACTTTTTTCCTAAACGTTTTTATACTCACAGAGATCAACAGTAGATTAGTTGAAAATGCTTCTTATCCAGAGGCTTTTGAAGTTAAGGAGAGCTTCTCTATGGTCCCAGTCCTGCAACTGGATTCTCAAGGCTGTTTTGTGCCTACTTGGATCATGTTGGTTGCTGAGCTCTATTTCCAGGACCTTTGGCACCAGTCCTCATGGACCTTCCTATTAGTGAAATAAGTGTGATTTAGGGCAGTGAACGTGAACTTTAAAGTCTGTCTATGCCTAAATATTATCTGTAGAGGTGTCTTTCTGCTTTTGTAATGAATGAATTAGTTACATTTTGAGGAGCCTGGTCTCCTCTCCAGGTCTTCACATGAGGGGAACTGAAGCCCAGCTGTGTGTTCTGATGGCAACCTGCATTCATTGGTCCCTACTTAAATAGTTATGCTGGTGGCAGGGAAATGTTTGACAACAGAAGATGTTCTGGATACAGGGCTTTGTTACTCACAGCTGGAAGTCGCAAAGCAAACAGCAAGTGCAGGCTGAACTCAGAGGCAGGAGCTCTGTACTCACAAGTGCCTAGGGATAAACTGGTTTTGTTTCAAGTCCCTTAGAAAGCAGAGCATCTGTTTACACCTTTGTATATTTGTATAGCTACAATGGTGATTTATATGTGTTCTTTCCCTAGACCCTTTTGTATAAGGGCTGTACTACAAAAGCATCTTGTTCTTTTTCTAAAAAAAAAAAAAAAGAAAATCCTTCTTTTCTCTCCACAATCAAGTTATTGTTCAGAGGATCTCATCCAGTTCCTTTCATCCTGTAGGAAAATGTCTCTGTTATATCCTTGTTCTGGTAGTACTCTTGTGTAAAGCTGCTGTGCTGTGAGATGGCATGTAGCATTTCCTTGAAGTTGTGATTTTGCTATGTATATAATGAATGGGAAACAGTGATCCCAGGGTGTGACTGACAGGTTCAGTGAGGACATTGCTTATATGCATGTAACCCTTTAGTATGTGCATAACTATGACTGTTTCACTCATGAAATCATTTCAGTTGTTCTTCTAATCTTTATGTTTGTGTACATGTACTCTAGGGAAAGGTACCTTTTGGACTGAGACTGTGTACAAGTGAATGTTTAGATGGTTTTTCTTAAAGGTAAATTGCTACATGTTGTCCTTCTATGAAATTTTTAAGTTTTAAAAATGTGAAAAAATAGCCCTAATAGAGTTAGGTTGACTGAAAATGAAATAATGTATTGCATGTAAGATACCCTTTGCCCATTTGGTTTCATACATTCCATTGTATATAAGAACTTGCACAGAATCATCGGTTGTAATTTTGTGCTATTGCTGTACTATTTCCCTGTCATTTGCATGAAAGGAAAAAAAGGGGACTGGGATACAATCAGGCATAAAGAGTGAAAAATTGAGTGTGGTGAAATGATGTTTATATGTGTCATAAAAAATATGATCATAAACATGTGCCAAAACTGAGGGGGGAATGGGTGAACAGTCCTCACATTGTGTTCTTCCTTTCATCCAGATGTAGCTCCAAGGCAGAGGAAGCACCAAGCTTTCAAAGCCTATCCCTAGCTAAAAAACAGGACAATAATTTTAAAAGAAAAAAGAAAAGAAAAAAAGACAACTTCACTGTTGTCTATATAGTGAAAAGTGATACTGTTATATATATTGGTATAGATGATGATTATTCTTGATAGAACCAAAAGCATCTGTGCTTGATAGAACCAAAAGCATCTGTTCTTGATAGAACCTTTATGCATCTGTGTGTAGAACTGTATGAAGGAACTATGTCCCTTAAATCTGTGTTAAACAACAAATGATGTAATTCCAGTTGGTCCGTGTAATATATTGAAAGCTTTTTACATAACCTCTCTTTTTTAAAGGATGGACTCTTCAGTACTGTTTTGCAGCCACCAAATGCAGACGTGTTTGAACTACTGTGTACAGAGAAGAAGCTCTACATGTAGGAGAACCTTGGAGAACCCATTTGCACTGAAAAATATCACATTGAACCTGTCCATATTGAAAGGAAAAACCCTATTTCTTAAAAACTCTGTATAAAATGAATCCTGTGGAAAGCACTTTGTTACTCTTTCTAATAAAAAACATTGCCATCAATGAGAACTGTGAATTCTTTATGGTGCTTTGTTCATGGTTACTTGACTCCTTTCAAAATATGGTAGGCCCAGATGACATGAGGCAGCATTCAGTTATCTACTGAAATTGGTTAACTTGCAGTTAGCGGAGAAACAAATCCCCCTTAAACTGTTCATTCTTTTCTTTCTGCAGGTCAGAAGGGTGTTCATTCTGCCAGACACATAAGTGTATCTGTGTTGCTCAGGATGCACAGTGAGTTAAGCAGTACAGGTTTTCTAAAAGTAGCAAAGCTGAATTTTGGTCCTTCAGACTGTGCACAGAATAAGTAAGACTCACTGCTTGAATAAATTCAAGCCTTCAGGTTTTATTTCCATTCCAGTATCTTGGTCATGCCTTTTATCAAATGCATGCAAATTGAGGAACAGCCTGTCTTTGATTCTTTAATTCTTTCCATCCTATGCTTTGCTCTAAGCTTTGAAAGTTTATTTTTTAGCCTCTCCCTTCTTGTTATTTTTCTCCTTTCACTCCAGTGTTGTCTTCTCTGAGGCCATTCACCTACAACAGTCTCTCTGTGCCCAAGGGTTCATGCTTTTTCAGCATTCAGTCATCTTAAAACCTACCTAGACAATCTATTTTCAGTTGGATTTTATGTTTTACAGCATGCCTGCTTAACACCAGAGGGGAGGAAACAACAGACAGGATTTTAAATAACATGCATATGCTGGTAATCACTTTTTTACAGTGCTTATCTGCTAGTTTAGATGAAGGTTACAAAACTGTAATTTCAGTTGCTGAAGGTCCAAGAGAGTGTTGCAGCTCTGCAGGGTAAAGGACTGCTGGTAGATTGGCACCAGGATTTTGAGAATAGATGGGTTAAGCAGCCATGTAGCATAGGGTTGTTTCAAGCTCATGCAGGTGGGTAGGTTGCCAACTTGCCTGAACTCCAGCCAAAGTTGTTACTTTCAACAACTGTCTCCCAAGTGCACATAAAATCATCAGCGTTCCTTCTGCACTCATTCTGAAGAAACTGAGCTTTCATCAGCTTGGCTATACACAGAGGAACCAAAAGGGGATGAGAATGTGAAAGGAGAATTGGATTTACAATAGTGTTTGTAACTTGTGTGCAAGTTTGTGGTATCTTCAAATTTTCGTCCTGTACTATCCAGATAATGTTCTTGTCTCGTATACAGTTGTCAGAATCTTTATCAGCCTATGTATATCCTTGAATTAATACGGAAGTGAAGCAGCCGAGATGATGCTTTCTCCCACATAACTTAGTGAAAGCAGCTTCTCCGCAGCCCCCAAGTGGCAGGAAGAATGTGACTGGATAAAGCCTTTTTGATGACAGGAGGCTGCGGAGGAGGATACTCTTGGTGCATCCTCAGGTGAACTGACTCCTTCCAAGGTTATCCAAGTGCTGGGGAAAACATCTTGCCCAGTCCCATGTATTATTGAAATAGCGGGAGTCCAAGTGGCATGGAAGGGAAAGGACTGTTATGCCACAGTCCAAGGGATTTAGTCAGACAGTGTTTGAAATAGAGATGATATGGAATAGAGTGTTTAGGTTTTATGTTCATTAAATGTAAGTTAATTAAGCCAAATTGTTTCTTGGCTTGCCCTGGCACATCACCTTTGTACAGAAAGAACACTGCTTGCAGTGAATGTTTCTGCTTCTGGAACCTATCTATGTCTAGGCGTATTTTAGACATGCCATTTACTGTTAATCGCATTTTAAAGCATTACGAGGGAAAAGGGCTCATCTTCAGCCTAATTTGCATGAAGGTTTAATTAGTACATGTGAGAAGGGAGCCAAATTAGTCTCTGGCAAATGGCTGAGGGCTTCCTCGTAGAGGAAAAAGCTGCTAATTGATGTGTGGGTGATGAAGGTACAAAGGACATGAGTTTGCATGCGGTCCAGAATGGGTGTTGGAAAGTGACCATTTTTGTGTCCTAATTCACAAATAAATTCCCTGTTTTCTAATGTAGCGATCTTCCCAAGATAGGTGGAACATAATTCCCAGGTATAAAAAGTCTGTAGCAAGGAGCTGAATTATTAGGTAAGGGAAATTACTTTGGAAACCAAAATCTTAATCTGCAAAGGATCAGACAGTAAGAATTCTATTCTTAGAATCATAGAATAGTTAGGGTTGGAAAGGACCTTAAGATCATCTAGTTCCAACCCCCCTGCCATGGGCAGGGACACTTCCCACTAAACCATGTCACCCAAGGCTCTGTTCAACCTGGCCTTGAGCACTGCCAGGGTTGGAGCTTTCACAACTTCGTTGGGCAACCCATTCCAGTGCCTCACCACTCTCAGCATAAAGAACTTCTTCCTTATATTCAGTCTAAAGTCCCCTGTTTGTTTTAACCTGTTACCCCTTGTCCTATCACTACAGCCCCTAATGAAGAGTCCCTCCCCAGCATCCCTATAGGCCCCCTTCAGATACTGGAAGGCTGCTATGAGGTCTCCACGCAGCCTTCTCTTCTCCAGGCTGAACAGCTCCAACTTCCTCAGCCTGTCTTCATATGGGAGGTGCTCCAGTCCCCTGATCACCCTCGTGGCCCTCCTCTGGACTTGCTCCAGCAGCTCCATGAATTATTGGATGACTTTAAGGATCACAAAGAGGAATGTTTGGTAGTGAAAGGCAGCAATATCAAAAAGCCAATAGGTACAACTTATACATGCATGTTATCCATCAGTTTAGAACAAAATCAGCTGTAGATGATTTAAAATAGGTCTGGAATGACTGCTGAGTTCTGTATGCTCTGAAGAGCTACCTGTTGAATAACTAAGCTGAGCTTTCATTTGGTTTGTGTATGTAAGCTCTGTTGTCTGTCAGAAGATTTCTAGCTCTTCTCAGCAATGCACAGCTTGGGCGTGTGCAAGCCAGACTGCAGCTTTGTCCTGGTACTGAGAGAATTCTTTCATAGTACCTCTCTGCATCAGTTCAATCATGATTTTCTCCAAAAACTAACTATGTCAGAGCATTTTTTGAATACTTTTAGACTCTTACACGCTGAAGCGTGTTCCTGCTTGGTCACAGAAAAGCCATCACAAAGCACAGTGGGGCTCCCTTCTTATTTGTCTCAAGTGCAAAGCAGGAACCAAGCTCTGCAGTAGCATTAACTTCTGCTGGATGCAGAGTGGCAAAAAAAGGAATTAAAATTATTTCTGTGCCTCATGGCTTATTTTTGAGCTTATCTTCAGCAAGCCCAGCTTTTTTGAGCCTGGTGCAATCATAATGGGGCTTCAATACTTTCATATGTGAGTCTGCTCCTTTAAAAAACAAAATAAAAATAGCTTTAACCCTTTTCCTGTATTTGGCTTGTCCAGGAAGTTTAGCACATTTGTATCTTTTGCTTGCGTTTCCTATTTTGCCTTTTGAACTTAGAAATTGTTGAACTGATTGCCTGAAGCCCAGATTCCTTAGGGTTAGGAGGAAGCTACTGTGCTTTTCTGAAACTTAGTTGAGACATGTGCTCTGTGTTATTACCATAATAGAAAACTTACCAAACTAGATAAAATATTCTGTGAATTCATTTCTTAGAGCCATTTTTGTTAACTCATTTCATTGCCAGGAGAAATGCAACAGATCTAGCCTACCTGTAAATCAG